ATTTTAGAGCTTCAATCAAGAAAACTACGCAGATTATACGAAAGACGAAAAAAATGAAAACTTTGAAAATCTGTTATTTTTTTCCACCTGAACCGTTTTCTTTTGCTACTATTTCCGTAAAAAAAGGGTTGCAAAAGTGAGAAGTCAGTTCTTCTTGTACTTCTGAATGTGCTCTTTCTCGTGGTCTGTAAAAAAATCTTTTAGAACAGATGGTGTGGAAAAAACTAAAAAAGTAGCGACAAAATGCACCTTTTTGGTACTTGTCAATTGGGGATACCTTCGCTGTACTCAAATTATTTTTCAGCAAATAAATGTAAGACAAGACACAAATATATAGAATGATAGAAAATTTTAGGCGCTATCAGAATATGGGGTCACTTTTGTAAAAGTATGTTTTTGTAAGGAAAATATCTTAAAAATACTGTGTGCAACTATTTTTTTCCACGAGAATATAAATCCCGAATGTTGAAAACAAAACACACCTCTTGTAAATTAGGAAAATTAAACTTTTTTCTAATCTGACTGTTTATTATTTAAGCTTTAATTTCTGATGAAATATAAGAAAACAAACCAGAAATAAGTTCAATCGCTTCTATGTACAATTTCTGGTTTTTGATTACTTATTCACTTATTGCAACCGTTTATCTTCAATCGCAAAACCGACGATGTTTGTCTAAATTTCGTCAAGAAGATTTAACGAGCGGTGATAAAAATAGAACGTCTAAGTTTTTATCAAAATTGATATTAAAAATCCATATTTAGGCCTTCCATTTAGAAAGTTATCGAATAATGATCAAGTTATCACCTCAAATGGCCATCTGATACGATTTTGTACTTAGAAACAACTTAGAATGTTATCAAGTTTTATCTCACATTCTTTCGATCATCATCAATCAATTGTAAACAGACAAACACGACTTATACTAATGATTGTCAAAAGCGTCAAAAACGAACCGTCAGTCAGCAGATAAATATACTTTCCTCTAAATCGACCAAAATTCTCTGGAAAAAACAAAATGTACATCTGGATTTCAAAGTATATAGTGTACATTTCTATTCGTTTTTCTTCAGCAAAGTGTACAAAACAAAGTGTATTTCAGATTTTCAAAGTGTGCGTGTATATACTTTTGTTCTATACTTCATATACTTTGTCATTTGTTAATAAATGCTAAACTATAAGTTTACGTTTCAAAATGAAATTCCTTTTAACTAGTTTTTTTTTCATCAGTATACCTAACTCTCCATATGTTGACATATTTTATTACTGCTGTTGTAATAAAACAGTTAGAGTGCATAGACATCTTCTTAATCGCAATTACAACGAGGGACAATATTATCTTTTCATTGGTCTGGTGAGCATATGACTATAGCTCGATATAAGAGTATACATACCTGTCAAGAACAATTTAAAGGTAAAATATTTTTTTTCATTCGTTTTCTATACCGAAAACATATTCTCAGTCTCAACACATCTTAGAAAAAATACATTCTATAGATTATATCCTTCTATCAGCACTTTTCTTTTTGGATAGTTTATTACATTAAATTTAAAAATAAATCAGACGACACATTTATTTATTGTTGCGTATATATATATATATATATATTCTTACAAGATTACAGTTCTATAGAGAAAAGAGGAAAGAATAACGCAAGATATCATGCGGTGAACTTCACTGCATGATATCCACTCACAGTTTCAAATTGGGTGAAAAATACGAGAAAACAAGAAATATAAATGATTTAGAAAATATGTAAGAAATATTTGTTAAGATTGAACAAAGTCAAAGTACATTACGACATTCACGACAGTAACAATGACATTCACAAACTAGCTATAAAATGCTCATTAATGTATGTAGAAACCAGAATCGAAAGCAATGAAAAAAGAAATGTGTATAACTGAACTATTTCGTCAGATGAACTCACTCAAGCCAATGGAATCTTACGTTGCTTCATGACGAATATTATGATTGGATTGAGCTGAGAGATCGTTATGCAATGTATGTCGAAGAAAATTAGGAATTCCAACGAATTTGTTTTATGTTTTAACTTTTTTTGTATTTTATACTGTGTAATACGATTGAACAGTTTGATTGTTTTATACTTGTTGTAAATAAACGATCATGAGCTTCTTGTTTTTGTACGACTGACTACGTCCTTATCTATTTTGCTCACATTTACAAGTCATTGAGAGGGTAGAAATGGATTGCGTTTTCTTTCCACTACGGTCGCCGATCTATACGATACTTCCATTTTTTTGCACTTTGTACCATTCTGTAGAAAAAAAAGAGTACGAACTAGATCTCTGTTTTAAATTTCTATTAGAATACGCTACAGTGAAGAGATGACTGAAAGTATGAGATTGAAAAAATTATATTTTTTGTCATATATAATCGATTCAACTGATATGTGATGTTTATTGCATGTGATATTTATTTAGAAAAGAAACAAGTTTAACAATTTATTTTATGTTGCATGCGGACATCATGAATGAACGAATGGAATGTATTATTTATTTATCTATACTTACTTTTAATTTGATTATTGGTGTCAAATAAGATTGCTCAATTCAGTAAGTACACTAATATACCCGTCGTTATGTATATACAATTCTTTCTCTTTCTATTTTCAGATAAGATGTACAAAGTAATATCTTCATTTTGGTCTTCGTCGGCGAACACTCGAACGATTAAAAAGAAAACTCGACTTTTATCTAAAAATTCAATTGAAGAAGATTGGGTATTCGTTAGTGATGCTGGTATTAGCTAAACATTTCCTTGTTGAAGTTGAACAGATTTCTCTTTCATGTCAATTTTTTAGGTATCTTAACAAACCATGTTGATAATGCTTTACTCACACCGGATTCACAAGAAATACATAACAGTTGGATTGCTACACCGCCTCTCATTGCACCATCAACATCACAAACAACCACTTCACTTAATCCAATTGATAATCTATTGATTGAACATCCGAGTGAGTAGACTAAATGAACAAAAGATATCTAAAAAATTACATGAAACTTATTGTTACAAAATCAGTAGTCAACTTAGAAAATTTGTCATTCTGTTGTCATCAAAATCGATGTTATATTTAAGGCATGTCTGTGTACGATCAAATCACTCGACCTCGTCGACGAAGAAAAATAGAAAATAAGAATCCTATTAAAGAAAATGATCTGAATGATCAACAAGAACAATGCGAAAAATCAGACATAACAACATCTTTTATACAGGTAAAAATAGAATTGTTTCTACCTTTTATATTGAAGTTAAATTTTCGATTCTATTACGTATGAAAAGCTCTTTTTTTTGGCGAGAATTTTTCGTATATTTTTACATCAAAATTACATTTTCTAACAATTTTAGCTATCTCGGAGTTCAACAACTGATCATCGTTCCCTCTCAAAATCATCATCCACATCTAACAACGATATTTCTAGTCATTTATCAAAATTAAACGCATCTGAAACATCCGCCTCCATTTCATCATCATTATGTCACTATCATCGTCGTCGAACTCATGTTCGTAGCCTTAAACCATCACCAAATACAAAAAATAAACCAAGCGTCGAACAACAGTTTGTTCAACGTCAACGAAAAAATATTTCAACTCTACATCATACAAGTGGAATAAATCATGTTCGTATTCTTCAACAACCACATCAGAGAACATTGTACCACTAAATTTTCTTTTTTCCAGAGTACATACGTGTGTCATATTTGATTCTATTTATGTATTTTTGTTTTTCTACTACTTTTTTTTAACATTTAGAAATATGTATTTTTGTTGTATTACATGTATTAGCCATTTTTCTATTGTACGTTTCATTTGTACATAAACAGTTATTGTTTGTTTTTTGCCGTTGTTTTAAAACTTTATCGTTTTTCGTTGTATATGCACCGCTACTGCTAGATGAAGATCTCTTTTTGTACATAGTTTGTTTTTACATTTATATCGAACAAAAATCGTACACAGTGACTTAGAAGAAACGAATGGTCTTTTAGACCTTTATATGTATATATATATTCTTCTTTAACGCCATTCCATAAAAGACCATACAAACAAAAGTTTGTTGTCTCTCTCATAAGCTATTTGTAATAAATTTTTTAATTTCCATTTTGTTTTTTGTTGTATACGTGCATCTGTTGTATTATTCATAGTGTATATAACCTATTACTATATTATAGCCTTCCGATTGATGTTTGATACATGTAAAGTGTTTTGTAAGTATTAAGCATTTTCATACAGATGTATATTTCATATTTTTTGATGTTGTATTTTTATTTTGTTTGTTTTTGTTTCAAATGTCGCTTCTAAATTAAGCCGTTAAATTATTTCTTAACAGTTATAAGATCGGCTAGAACGTTGTTTTTGCGTTTATCTGTTGTAGATCTTGAAAAAATGCCGGTTGATCTTGTTTATTTATTTCCATTGAACTTGTTTTAAATTCGAGACCTAGTTTCGATCAAATGTATCTTTCTGTTAAAGTGTGTAGAATTATTCTTTTAAGAATTACTAAAGAGACGAGAAAATGCCACTACTGTTCATGCTGTTTTTTTGCTCTGTAAATCCATTCTATTAAAGAAATGTATTTGCTTTAATTAGTGCTTGACGATAAACTATGATAGATGCTGAATATTCATCTTTAGTTAGTTCATAATCAGTTTTTATTTATTCAATCATTGGATCTCAGTTGATTTGTTTTTATTGAATGAAGATTTAAATGCTGCACATTCTCTATGGTTGTTCTCAATTTTTATTTTACTCTTTTCTATAATTCGCTCTACATTTTTGATCCGTTGTTGATAATTGACGATCGTTTTCGTTTAATCGAACAAAAAATTTTGTTTTTTTATAAAAAAGAAAATTTAAAACAATATGTAGAAAAAACTGTTAGTGTTGTGTTACTGCTTTGGTTTTCCCACTAGTGTTCGAAAATATTACAAAACACTGCATCAACTATAGTGTGAACTGATCCTTTTTATTGTCTATTCGTTTGTTGTATGCAATACGTACGTTCATTTGAGATGTTGTTTTTTTGTGATTTATAGGTCTCAATTAGTTCGTCTCAATTAGAATACTAGTTCAAAACATTTTGAAAATGAATGTTTTCTTTCTCTACTTTTTTCTCTTTCTCAATATGTAAGGACGACAACTTGTATAAATTCATCCGTTTTCATCTTTACTTCGTTTTATCGTTGTCTATCGAAACTATTTTCGTTTGGTTATTTGAACGTGTATAGTTTTAAGATCGCAATCGAGTCCGGTCATTGGTGATTAATAGCAACAATATCTAATTTAAATTTCATCGCATATAAATATTTTTTTTTTAAAGTTAAAAACAGTTTTTAAGGAATTCTCTCTTGTTCATGATAACTTTTCTCTATAAAAGTTCAAAGGATAAATTTATTGTTTATTCAAATTTGTTCTCTATTACTTCTCTTCTATCTTGGATGTTACGATCTGTATTTGCTTTTGTAGTTTGTTTCGTACGTTCATTAATGAAAACTTCTAAAAATTTTTTGTAAAAAAAAAATAAATGTGTTTCTTTTTTTGTATTGCTTTATAAAAACCGATATAATATTACGTCAAATAAAGAACAAAAAAAAATTGAAAAATTAATCACTTATGTTGGCTGACTGGTAGTTGAGAACGAGAAGAAGAAAAAAATGTGAAGGTAACAAATGTAAAATCTTTATAGTAAAATATTCATTGGAAGAGAAAATTAAATGAATAATTGATTATATTTTGATGTTACGATATTAGCTTATTGTGTTATGATATGGCTATTCTTGTCGAGAATTACCATGTGTAACAGCTGAGTGTCAGTAAACGAAATGTGATAAAATTAAAACTATAGACGAAGTTTTCTATAGTTTTCTTTTTCATATTTTATTTCTTAATGGATGTTGTTTATAGAACTTATCAAATGATGATAGAGTTTACTTTTTATATTTTTATTCTAACTACCCTTTTCTCTACCTTATTTTTAAAGTGTTTCGCATGACCTACATTTACGGATCACGAAATAGTTTCGGATGTTCTTTTTTTTTTTACAATGGGACTTGAGATTTTAGCATCAAGTTGTTTTCTGCTATTTCACTGAATAATTTTAGATGAATGTCGATTTTCTCATTATACTTGATCTGATGGTAATATGATGATTTGTAAAATACTATTTGTGATCATTTTATCGTTTAGTCATTTACAATATGGAGGAAAAACAACAAGAAGGTTTGTTGTATAGTCTCCTATTTTTTGTTTGTCATTCTGTTCAGCTCGTTTTAGAAAATAATTTTATTTTAAAAAAGAAAAAGGATGATGCATGTCTTTAATTATGTACTGTATTACTATCTAATCTGAAGGGTGAATGGTATTTCTATTTTTTTTTAATGAAAACTCTAATGAGTGCATGCAACAAATAATTATCTAATCAAGAGAAATATGCAGATGTTTACTTTAGTTTGACTTACAATACGAAATTTTCTTATTTTTGTGTTGTTTAAATCTATTTCATGATATTAGAATAATATTTCAATATATTTGATAGTTGGATATATTCCATAGAAATAGAGCGTTATCTTTATACTCGTTCATATGTTTACTTTTACATATACTGCAGAGAATTACAATAATCTCCAAAATATGAACCAATATCTATTTGTATATCGACTATAACAGCCGCTGTTGTACGATTGATAATTGTCATCATTTATATCGCGATATGATGTTAATTTTAGAATGGTTTTTATCGCCCTTGTTTTCATCAAAAACTCTTCCATTTATCGGTAGATTGTTGCGATTATGTTATTGATAATCGACCGTTTGTCTCGGTATTGTAGTTTTCGTTAAAATTTTCAGTCTGATTTTTATACAGTATTCTCTTATAGGAATAATTTAAAATCAAAATTGTATACAAATGATCTTTACCATGATATAAATGGTTTTATTTCATCATGTTCTGATGATTTTTTAAACACTTTCTCTTGCATTAATTTAATTAAACACTTCCAGTAATTCATATTATTATTGCAGAAAACGTATTTCAACGTTATCGGAACATTTTTATTTTCAACTGATTCATTGTCATTTTGGATTTGCTTGTAATAGTTTGAATGTCAAAGTCGGAGCGCAATGACATTATACCGCATGTGACATTATGACGCAAGAATATCATCCCACTCACCTTCACTTGTTAGTAGCCAGAGCAACAGAATGGTTATATCCAGAAATACTAAAACAATTTGAAGTGAAATTCTTTCGGAGGATATTGATTTGAATCATAAACGATAAATTAATAAGTCTTAATATGTATTATAACAAATTTTGTGCTTGAAATAGAAGGAAGTGTGCTTCAATTAATCGCCATAAAATCAGTTGTGTTTATTGTAGACGTGACAGTTTAGAATGCCATGATTTAACGTCATTATTTGTTCATCCACCTTGTCCAAAAACACTCTATACTTCGATATCATACTGCCCATTTAACCAGATATTTCAAATATAATGATATACTAAAATAATACATAATATGACTTTTTCTTTATTTAGAAATTGAAACTTCAACACAACAACATTTCTTTTCTCAAAATATGAAACTGGCGGAGAATGAACCTACGACAACAGCAACCACGAAAACATTACCATCTACCATTTCTCTTCCAAAGGCTTTATCATTTTTGCCATTATCATCACATGCCACATATCGATTTATTATATTATGTATATGTGTATTTGTGTATTATCTTGCTTACGGATATATGCAGGTATATTTAGCTTCATTATTTTAAATTTTATGTATTTTTACTCGTACGACGATAAAATGTATGATAGAAGATGAATTGATAGCGAAGTCTTTGCAACTATTATCGTAAGATATGAATGAGAAAATATTTCTTATTGAGAATAAAAGCCAGTTTAATTACCCTAAAAAGAATTTAAAAATATCGTATATGAAACAACAGCTTTGGTATTCGGAATGCGCATCGATTCGCACACGTCTCATGTCGATGGCATCTTTGATTCTTATAAACAATGCCAGAATGAAAAATCAATGTTACATCACACATTGATTTACCATAATGTCATTTTTTCTGATTTCTTGAAATACTGGCGCATTGATAAAACTCAACACACTTAACAGTGTGGCATGATGACAGGCATCGATTTTAAACTGTGGTACACTAGTGCCGCGGCACTTCTCTCACCAAAAAAGAAATCTGATGTGAAAAAATTTGAAGAAAATCCAAAATAGCCATATATGTTATATAACGGGAGGGCCAGAATAAATGGCGCATTTTTGTTCTTTGTTTTTGAGGCACTTTCCAGTGGTGCAAAGAGTTGGTTCTAGGCTCAATCGATAGAGTATTGAATTCTCTACAAAACCTGCTATTTGAATCTCTGAGAGCATTTTTCTCGTTTGAGCACCATTCAGAATATTGTAGGATGCTGAGTTGTCCAACTGCGACACACTGAAAATAGAAAACACTTACCTTGATCCAAAAAGCGATTCCATAAGAATTTTGAAAACATCAGAAGATTCACCGGAAAATTCTGCATCTTCTCACATATTTTTTGAAATTTTGAAGTTAAATCTTCTAGGAAAATTTCTCTGTGCAAAAAACTGATAACTCTTAAAAAATCTAACTTTTGAACCTATTTTTAACAGACTTTAGCTTTTTGGCTATAAAAGCAGTCAAATGTTGTGAATCCAGGGTTTTAGTCTTGTTATCTTACACAGAATTAAATTTTGCGTCTTTTGATATATAAACAAAATTTCTCAATTGAAAACATTAATTAAAATAATTAATTTAATCTGAAAAAATTGGAAAGCCGGTAGAGAACTAATTCCAGCTGACGTAGCGGAAACATTGTATGAAGTTGTAAATGAGTGAGATCGATAGAGCACAAAATTCTCTATCTTTCTGTGTAGGAAAATTAACTATTGAACATCAGACAACGGGCTAAAAATCTAAAAAAGACGAAACGACTTCAATGTATCGCAGTTCGACAACTCAGCATCCTACAATATTTTGAATGATGCTCAAATGGGAAAAATGCTCTCAGAGATTTAAATAGTAGGTTTTGTAAAGAATTCAATACTCTATCGATTGAGCCTAGAACCAACTCTTTGCACCACTGGAAAGTGTCTCAAAAACAAAGAACAAAAATGCGCCATTAATTCTGGCCCACCCGTTATTATAACCAATTGTAAAACAAAAAGGTGACATACGATCGCATCGATCTCTCGTCACTAATGCGCGTTGATGCGATCATATGCCATCAGTCGCATTGATGTTCATCGATGAGAAAGCTATGTCATTAGAATTTTCTTTGTAGAATAGTTATAAGAAAAATGTTATTTATGTAATTCTTTTGTTTTGTTTATTTCTTTTTAGGAGTTACTTTTTACTTTAAATGGTTTCAGAGGGACAGCTTGGTTTTTGACATGTTATCAATTTTTTGTTTACAGTGTTTTATCTGTTATTCAACTAGGACTATCCGGTGTAAGCAACAGAAGGTCAGTTATCGTCTATTTTAATTCAAAAATTGAATAATGATGATTCTTTCTGGTAGTGACGATATGATTTATTCTGTTGTTTTAGAGCCACTTATAAATCTTACTTCATATTAGCTTTGTTAACAGTTGGTACAATGGGTTTATCTAATTATTCTGTTGGTATGCGAATGTTATTCTTTGTCTCTGTAATAAACATTTATTTTTTCAATGATACGATATTTCAGCTTATCTCAATTATCCTACACAAGTAATGTTCAAATGTTGTAAACTAATTCCCGTTTTACTCGGCGGTATTATTATTCAAGGTAATTCAATGTTAGTCATCAAGTAAATATAGAAACTATTGGTTTTATATGCTACTATGTAGGAAAAACATTCAATCGATATGATGTACTAGCTGCTATATGTATGAGCGTTGGATTGATATTTTTTACACTGGCTGATTCAAAAGTTCGACCAAATTTCAACTATTATGGTTAATAATATTTGTAAAAAAATTTTTATTTATTTATTTTGATAAATATATTTATTTTCAGGTGTATTTCTGATTTGTGGTGCTTTATGTGCTGATGCTGCTATAGGAAATTATCAAGAAAAAATCATGAAACAATTTCATATTCCAAATGTTGAAATGGTAGAGAGAACTATTATGTTTTATACTTTTGTCTTATGAGAGAATACTGCTAGATGAAAACATTTCTGATTCAAACTAGGCGTTTTTTTTTTCCTTGGATAATTTTTTATGCTGATTACAAATCTGATAGTCATTTGTATCCATAGAAATTTTTTAATTCCTGTCTCCAGAAATCTAATCTCTCTTATAGTTTCAGTTTAACAGGCTCTGCTATTGCAACTCGAATTGTATATAGGAACATTTCGTTTGATCTACTGAAAAATGTATGCTAAAATAAAAATTTACATAAAGTAGACTTTAAAAATAGGTGAAAACACACAAACGGAAGAGTAATGATTCTTTAGCTCAGTAGAAACTTATTTGGTCGATAAAAATTTCTTTTTGATAAATTTAAGTCTAGTTACTAAACAAATTGTCAATAGCAGAGCCTGTTAAGCTGAAACTATGATAGAGATCAGATTTCTGGAGACAGACATTAAAAAATCTACATGGATACAAATGACTATCAGATTTGTAATCAGCATAAAAAATTATCCAAGGAAGAAAAAAACGTCTAGTTTAAATTAGAAAAGCAAAAGTTTTCATCTGGAAATATTCGTTTATTAGACAAAGAAGATATTTTAAATAAAAAAAACAGCTCATTTTATTTATTTAGGTTTTTTTCTCATTTGTGTTTGGATTTGTATTTATTTTTATTGGTTTGATTGTGACAAATAATTTTTATTCATCAGTGATGTTTTGGAATCAAGTATAATTTCTTATCCCATATGTCTACCTATAGCGATCATATTATTTTATATATTCTATTTTAGTATCCAGTTAAAACATATGGATATGGTTTGATATTTTCTGTATTTGGTTATCTTGGTATAGACATTGTATTAACACTAGTGAGAGATTATGGTGCATTAATTGCTGTTACAGTGACAACTTGTCGAAAAGCAATTACAATTGCTCTATCATTTATACTCTTTTCTAAACCATTTATTTTCGATTATATTTGGTCCGGACTCATCGTTATTGTTGGTATCTATTTAAATGTATATAGTCGTAATCAAGCGGTTTTCAACGCAAAATTATGGAATTTTTATAACTATTTCTTAAATCTAATTCGTAATATTAGTGGTGGACGTCATCATTATTCAACATCTTTATCTACACCAGTTTAAATAAATACTCAATAATGACAATGTTTAATGAATATCACTTGTGCAATGTGTATGAGTGCAAAGATCAAATAATGAAGATTAAATATATTTCTGTCTGTGATAATTCAGTGAACATTTCTCCATGGATGTAACATGTCTAAATTAGGCTAAATTATTTTTATGCTTTATTTAGATTAATTTACTTTTATTTATATTCGAATTATTTTTATCTATATGCAAAAAAAAAAAGTTTGTCAGAATTTTTCTATTTCGGATAATGAACGTAAACGATTGCGTATAAAAATCTCATTGTTTCTTATTAATCTTGTTTTTCAGTTGAGTTAGTTTTGTTATTGTAAAGTGAGTAGATTTATGTTTTTTTGAGAACATCAGAGTTGTAGCCAATAATAAAAATTAGGTAACTAAAATGTTTTTATTATTTTTGTTGTGTGTTCTAATCATCGGGTATCTGAGAAACATATAATGATTAACTATATTTAGCTGTGACAACCTATTCATATTCAATGGCGGCGCGAAGAAGTTGGAGCAGGGGGGGGGGCTGGCTGTAGTTCCAAAAATGTTTTCTGGCAAGTTTGATAAAGTAAAATAGAGGATACAAAACTCGCCATTTTTTCATTTCTGACGTACTGTTATATAATCAGTTACCATCACACTTGTAGACATATGAAGAAAATCGCATTTTTTGTTGTTCCTTCATATAGTGTATTCAAAACCGAGAAGAAAAATACAAATCAAAATACTAAACTCTATGACCAGTTGTTTTGGGAATTTTTTATTAATATCAATACTCCACTTGGCCGACTAATGATACTAGTCCGGACTTGTACTTGTCCATCTCTAGGGAGGTGTTTTACCTTGTTCGAGCTTTCTCCAATTCTGTGACATTTCTGGAGCAAAGGTAGCCCGAAACTCGCGAAAACGGCAAATATGTACGCAAAACCTGTAAAAGTTTGCTGAAATCGGAGTAAATTTCCCATACTTTTGGCACAAATCGAAGTAAATTTCTGAAAGCAGAAGGGGTGTACACTCCCCTCATACAAACAGTCGCGCTGCCACTAATTCATATTCTATGTTTAGTTTTTCAATCTAAATGATTTTCTTTTAATAAATGGATGTTCCATAGTTCATGAGTAATATCTTTTTTGTAGATGATTTGTGAAGATTATTTATAGAAAATGTAAATGGTCTAGTATTTGATGACTGGTTCTCATTCGTCAACCATTCTGCTTTTGGGCATTGATTTATCATCCTATCGTCGGTGGAGTCAATTTTTATTGATATCACTAGCTGTTTTAGTCTTTCATGTTTTTCAAGGATGGATACAGGTTCGATATTAATGTGATCTAATCTCTTTTATTTAGACTTAAAACTACTTATTCTCTTTAAGGAACTTATTTTACAACTTCGATCATTAAAAGCATATCCAAATTATTTTACATTAGTACAATTTATTTATTATACGTTACTTGCCACCATCGAAAGAAAATTATTTGAAAAATCAAAACGAAGAAAGTAAAATAAACTTTTTTTTTTTATTAACGTACAATTTGAAACTTTCATTTTAATTTTTTAGATGTCCTATTCGCACCTATGGAATGATTGCATTATTTACTATTGGAACATTGGGTTTTAGTAATGCAGCTATAATGCATTTAAACTATCCAACTCATTTAATGTTCAAATGTTGTAAATTAATTCCTGTGATGATAGGCAGCATTCTAATTTTAGGTAAGTAATTCATTCATGATGGTTTGTTTTGATTATTCAATATCTGTCGCTTCTTGTAGGTAAACGATACAATGGATATGATATTTTGGCTGTTTTATCTATGACAGTGGGTTTAGTCTTTTTCACATTGGCCGATAGTCAATTACAACCAGAATTTGATAAACTAGGTATGACATCATTTTTATTTACTTTCAGCGTTTCCTCATAGAGCAAGAGACTTACTAAACATCTTAATGAAAAATTAACAGCGTTATTGAATTAATGAATTATTTACAATAAAATATTCTTAGTTAATCTTTATTGTGATAGTTTTAAATTTTTAGAATTTTTTATCCGATAATCTGAAACTGAAACTTAAACTTTTTCAAGTTTTTTTCCGGTTTAAACGTAAACAATATCGGTATGGTTAGAAAAATTTTGCTTTATTGGCTTGCGATATCGCATGTTTATGATATAATTCATTAACTTTTAGACATGATAGAGAATAAAAGTTGAGAGGATATAGATGCGAAACGTTCTACTAAAGTTTTAAGCAAAGAGACATTAGACTTTTGTATCCTAGACTAACGTGAACTACTGATCTTTCTTGCGTATTTCATCCAATTTAGTTGGATTTAGAATTAATTGTTCTATCTGAAATTACATAGTTCAGAATTCTGTTTCATACCCACAGAATATTTTTGATGAAAAAAATTTCCTTTAAACGCATTACAATCGACATTTTGTATCTTTAATACGTCTAAACTCATTAAATAGATAAAAAATTGCTTAACGTCTTCACATATTTTACAAAAGTTAATGCATTTGAGAGTATTAAATTTTTGAACTTTTCCACAAATTCAACACCTTCGAATGTCTTATTAACAAATGCGTTTAAACTTCTTAAAATTTTTCACACGTTTGAATGCGTAAAAAAAATATTCATCTATTTAATGGGTTCACATATATTCAGATTAATTTGATGCGTTTACACGCGTTAAAAGTGAATATATTCAAATGTGTGAAAACATTCATTAAAAATGTTTTCCTTTCATTTAAAATGTTCACAGGTTTTAAGTGCAATCGAATGAATTCGCACGAATTAAAATAATTAATAAATGTGAACATAATCAATACTTTTTAACACTAGAACGCCCGAAAATTTTCATAATCTAGAACGCCCAAAGCGGTCATTTGGACCGTTACTGTTTTTTTAAAAAATTTTATACTTAAAAATGGTTCTGAATTAAAAAATGAATTAAAAATTCTGCAAAAAATAATTTTTTTGTGGGACAAATTAAAAGTTATGACATAATTTATTTTTAAATAAATTGTATGCAGTTTGTTTTATTAAGGATAAAAATCACAAAACGGTTAAAATGACCGCTACGGGCGTTCTAGTGTTAAAACGTAGAAATGGTACTAGTATTCTATAAGGAAGCATTCTTACTTTTTTTTCTGACAACGCATCGGATTACTCGAAAAGTTCGGTCTAAGGTGATTGCTTCTACTCAATTAGACACACTGCACAGGACCTCGAAACTTTTCAAAAAATTGACGCCTTCTGTATGATCATCCATGAATGCAATCAAATGTATTAAAATCTAATGTGTTTTTATGAATTGAATAATTTTAATGCATTTGAATTAGAGTTCGAAACGAATCAGGAAAATCTAATTCGATTCAATTTGCGATAACATTTTTGAATTATAAATCGGTTTGATTCGGTTCAGCTTTTTACCAAATCGAATCGAATGGCGAATTATTCGATTCGTTGGAGGCTCTAATTTGAATGTCTGAAAATTTTTAACGTATTAAACAGTACTAAGGTTTTAAGGCGTTAAACTCAAAAATTTACCAAATGCGTTCGTTAAAAACATTTGTGATCAATTTAATTTTAACGCACTTAATCCGTTAAAATAATTTAATATGAGACTGAAGCGCGTTTTTTTCGTTAGTCTAATGCATTAAATAACCCATTTTAATTCGCTTTAACGCATTAATGACGTTTTAATAAATTAGAACTTTCTCGTTTATTTTTGATATGCTAAATTTAACGCTTGTAAATGCATTAGAAATTTTTTTCTTTGAAGTTATTTAATGTGTATGAGTTTATTAATATTTAATGTTGTTATATACGTTCAAAAATAGTTAACAGATAAAAAGGAAATTTTTTACATTAAAAAATAAACATCTGTCACTGTATGTGACAATAGTTTCAGAACTATGACAAAATCTCCTCATCATAGTACGCAAATCATTAGAAGTATTTTGGTTCTTTTCATTGCTAACAGTAACTTTTGATTTGGTTAAATATTATTTCCAAAATAATCGGAAATCTTTGTCACTGTAACACGACCAATAGTTTGTAAACGATCCTCGATCTTATGAATTTCTAGAAATAGTCGCTGGAACAAATCGACAATATTATTAAAAGCCAGAAAACATTTACCAAATTCGAATTTTAGTGCAATTGCAGCTGAGATACCCTTAACTTTGTTTAATATAATTAAGAGCTTATTTCAATATATATTTCAATGAAATAAGCTCTTAATTATATTAAACAAAGTTAAGGGTATCTCAGCTGCAATTGCACTAAAATTCGTACTTCTATTGTTGACCTTTCATAGTATGTTATCATGTATAGAGATACTTTTGATGTTGCATTGTGCACATTATTACTATTATTAATACTATTTAAACTTGAACATCATAATACATTATCCTATGCTGATTTTTTCAACTCGAGTGGATTGTCTTTCGATGTTATTTTGAAAAATTTGCCAGGCTGTACTAATTATTAGTCAACAACTAAAAACAAACAAGAACTTAGAACTTCAATACTTTTTAGCTGTGCATGCAATCGAACAAAGAAACGTAGAGGCTGTTATACTTAAAATGATAGAGTTAACAAGAACTCGCCTGACTATTACTGACTTTTTTGCATCAAACGTAAACTTTTTGCGAAAATAGCGGTTGATAGGCTTTCTACTCACAAAAGATACAATTTGTAAAAATTGCGAAATGAAGATTTAAATCTAACACTTAGCTAAACTAATCAAAAGCTACATGAAATTTGATGGGTACTTAAACAATGAATGTACTTTTTGTCAATGTGTGAAAAATTGAAACACTTTTTGTTTAGGTGTAGTGTTGGTTTGTTGTGCTTTGGTTGCTGATGCAGTTATTGGAAATGTGCAAGAAAAAGCATTAGTCCAGTATCCGGCATCAAATGCTGAAATGGTTAGAGTTTGATGATTGTGAGATGTAAAGTATATTTTGACAGATGAATAAGATGACTATGAACTATATGCCGGTATATACTAATTAACTTGTCTTACATATATCTCTTATTTCTTACTCTAGATTTATTATTCGTATTTAATCGGTGCCATTTATTTAATTATACTTGAACTATTACTTGGTTCATTAACTGAGGCATTCCTCTTATGGTGGGCTGTGAGTATATTTTCTCTTTATTTACAGTAACATTCTCTACTAAATTTTTTGTTTTAGTATCCAATACAATCTTACTTTTACACATTTATATTTTCAATATCCGGATATTTGGGTGTGAGTTGTGTCCTGACATTAGTGCGAACATTTGGTGCTTTGATAGCTGTTACGGGTACAGAATGACAAAAAAATATATATTCTCAGTAGTTAATTGTTTCTTTCTTTCTTTCAGTTACCACCTTTCGAAAAACAATAACTATTGTAATCTCATTTATTGCTTTCACAAAACCGTTTACTTTCCAGTAAGCTAAAATACAACTAGTTTAAATTTCTCTTTTTTACTAATATTGCAATACAAACGTAGTAAGTACATCAATGTAATTTATAATGTCTTTCTTCTAGATACGTTTGGTCAGGATCATTGGTTATAATGGGTATTTATCTAAATGCATATGGAAAAAATCGTAAGAATATTGAGAATTATTTCCGATCCATATTGATTAACTTTGTTTTGCTAATAACTTGTCAACGAACACGTAGAAAACGTTTAATTGAAGATGTATGAAATATATTAGAAATACTCTTGAGCAGATTTTATTTTATTTTTTTATCCGTCCTTAACCTTATAACCAGTGTAATTTTTTTTATTGATAATTCAATGAATGAACAGTAATAATAAATTCATAATATCTGGAAAAAAACATTATGAAGGGCAACAATTTTTGAATGATTATAATTACAGTCTTTTTTTTCTTTCCAAGACCGAGATCCTGTCTCTAATATTCATTTACCCATACCCCAAAAACGTTATCGTAGTTCTTTCAAGTCTAATGTTCTCCGTCGTTGATCATAACATAGATCACGATTTTGTCTATTACAAGGTTCAATAACAGCATGTAATCTAACATCCGATCCATACGGGTGATACCACTTGTTGACAATTGCCATAGTTTTCAACAAGTGGATAAAAACAGCCATCAAAAGTATCAAATAACTTTGTTATTTATGCGAGAAAAACACCTATACAAAGGCATAATTACATATAAGAAAAATGTTCACATCTTTGCCTCCCAGCATACATTTTCGAATACAGTTTTGGTAGGATACAAACAGGTCTGATACCTGTCTGAAATAAAAAAATCTGACATCGTTTTCAATATTCATTAGGTATCATAAACAGGTTTTCCTCGTCTTTGATCACACTTTGATGTATTTATCGTTACTAGTCCGCACTTTTTGGTTATAATACAATCAAATTGTTTAATAAAATCAAAATTTTGAAGTTTAACTATATTACACAGTTCATATATATCGCAAGTTTTCAAGTTGTCAAATCCATTGAATTCATATTTATATAGCTTTTAAGATGATTATCATCGACGACTCATTTGTTTCAAATATTTTGTTGTCTAATAACACATCTTCTTCGATATTTAATATAGATCTTTTTTCTTCTATGGGCTATGAATAAGATAACATACATTCCTGGAAAACGTTTGCATTTTTATTTTTGTTGATCTACTATTTAGTTACTAATTCTTTAGTACTAAGTCTTTTCTTTTGTTTTATATTTATTGATTATTTTTGATGCTCACTTAATCAATTCAACCAATTTTGTTGATTTCTTCTCTGATTTAGTTGATGTTTTTCCATTTTTTCGCTTAACAACATTATTCTAATTCGTAAACCTTATCGTTCGACAATGAGGAGACATTGTTTGTGTTCTTTGTCTTGATTCCATTACTGAAATTTCGACTGAGATAATATCAAAATATTGAATGAATGAAACGACAAATGTTTTATAACAGAGTCTAAAGACGGTGAATGAAAGCTCTATATAACTTGCAGCATTTGAATACATAATAAAAATTAAAAAATTGAGAGATTTGTATTCGTATATTCATGTTCGAACGACATCTAGTCTAGATGTTGATAAAAACATTGATATTTTTATTTTATCTGCTTATAGTAATTAAAATATATCGTTGAAATAAAAAAAGGTAAAATAGAGAGTATTAAACAAGATTTTTTCTAGCATCAAGACCCAGTTATAATAACTCGATGTTATTCATTTTAGATGGAAACCATTGTTTAACTACTGTTTTTAAAATTATCTTTGTTGTATCAGGTTTTGATAATAAATGATCATCTTGAACTTCTATTAATTTGATATTTCTATTTTGTTGTTGTTTTAATAATTGAACATAATGTCTACTGGTTTCAATCGGCACAAGATCATCGTCTATTCCATGAATGATTGTTACTGGGCAATTGACTAACGGATAGTTTATTTGCTCTTTCAGATTATTGTAAAATTCATAATGTAATGGTTCTTCTTTCTCTAAGATATAGAAAAAAATGTCACTTTTAAGTGAGAAAAACTTTGTATCTAATTATAACATACGTGTTATATAATGAAAATAGTTTTTTACACCACTCGTTTTCCATTCATTCAACTGTGTTTCACTCAACTTCAATGACCATAGCTTTTCTGCTTCTAGCGCAGGACATAACAGTATCAGAGAGTGAATCAATTCTTTTTGACGTTGTGTTAATAACGTGGCACACAATCCACCAAGAGATGAACCGATTAAACACCACCGACAGTTAGAATCTAAATGAATAAAATAAACGAAAATGTTGATTGTACATTAAATTGTAAAAAAGAACAGAATTACCTACTAGTGTTTTTTCTAGAGTATCAACAATTTTTGTCACAGATAACGTTTGAAACGATGGAATGTTTAAATCAGGTAACAATAGATCTTTATTCAATACTGAAGAAAACCATGCTTTTAGTGCAACGCCTTTCTTTGATGAAGCGGAAGAAGCAAAACCATGCAAATAGGCGTAACGTAATGAAAGCGAAGACATTTGATTTTAGTGAATACGAAGATCTGTTAATAACTTTTAGGTTTCAGTTTATCTACAATAAGGTCGAGCCACATATTTAGATACCATTTTATAAACCTTCTTATTCAGTTATCAAAAATATGTTTTATTTCTGTGTTAAAAAAGTAAAATACAATAGAAAAAATCTTCAGTAAAGTTCAATTTAGATCTACTACATGTTGTTTACAGTGTATTTTAAGTGTTTTTTGTTGTTCTTTGAATGAAAAATATTGGTCACTGTTTCTTTTAATGAGTTATGGGAACATGTTCAACATCGTGGTAATATCATAGATTCTGTTAAAAATCGTGTTCATTCGTCTGTGTAGTTAAAAATTTTAAACGATCGAATGAAGCAAATGATAGCAAACCAAATCTGTTATAAGAATGTCACTAGCTGACAAGTGCAGTATTAGTAAAATCTGTTTGTGGAGCTAACTTACATTGTGGACAATCTTACTTTTTCCATATCATATCAGTCGATGATAATATTTTAGACTTGAAATATGACTAGCAAACACCTCTTTTACGTGCACGTATTGGCATAAACGGTTTTATTAACTTAGCGCCAACGTTGAGTTATTTGATGATTATTTAGTTAAGCTAAATTTTTTTTTATGTCGATATTTGTTTTTTGTAAATGTATTTGTTTATCTCCGGAGAATAAATGTCGTCATTGAATGCTCATCGAAGTAGTACAGCGAAAAAAGGTGATATATATATATATATATATATGTGAATATTAACGTGTGTTGGTGACCCTTTATTAAATTTATTTACAGTTAGATCAGGTACACTGTCTTCAACGGCATCGGATCAAACATCTTTGATGTCTATGAGTTCGCCTACAACATCAGCGAATAAAGTAAAATCTACAAGTGACTCGAGTAATTCAAGTAGACTAGAACATCTTGTTCGACGTCGACGTACAATCGCTGGTCGTCCACCATATCTACAAGAGTCAACTCATTTTGAAGAGGTAACTAAAGCATCAACGATTACAGATAGAACTAGTAGAAAAACAATGATAACCACCGCCATCGAAGAAACGAATCAAATAGGTGAAGATGATTGGGTGGGTCAACATTGTTCAAGCAAAAAATGACCATCGATTGAAATTTTCTTCGTTTTCATTATAGGTTTGTCCTGTAGCTGTTGCCCTTCGAAAAGCGGGATACAACGTACCATTAAGACCAAGCAAGAGCTGGCTCGAACGAGATCGTAAAAACCAAGAGATTCTGAAAGGACAGCAGAAAGAACAATAAACTGATTATGGGTGAAAAAGCAATGTCTACGCATCTCTTTTGTATTATTAACTCTCATCTCTTTTTTCTTATAGCTTTAGAAACAATAATTATTTTTGTGATAAACTAACATTATCTTGACTATTTATACATGTGAATTAATCTTTTCTTCTACTATACCTTTCGGATAGAACATTTGAGGTCATTTCATTTTTCCAATAGTATAAGTCAGTATCAAGGCGAAAACGAGAGACAAACTGCTTTATTATTCATCAGATTTTGTGTCTGGTCTAAAAAAAGGTTTTATCATAGATTGCCGATAGTCCTAGCCCTTGTTTCTTTAGTCTTTATTATACTTTTTACTCTTAGTCGATTTCTTTTCTTTTTCTTTGTTGCTGGTTTCTAATAACGTGGGATGCATGTTTTTTATGACTCCGCTTTATAACTGTTTTCTTTTAAAAAAATTAAGGTAAAAAGGACCACATGTGAGTTTGTCGTTGAAACAGATTAATTTTTATCTCAACTACAATTAGTCGGCTCTATTAAAACAAATGCTGGAGTATTGGATATGTGAAAATAATTGATGTTTGATTCATTCACGGTAATGCTACCGTATAACTCTAACAGTATATTGTTTCAATTGAGGACTCGATGTCGACGCTCATCATACAGGCCTTCCGATAAATATTTTAGTATCATGGATATAATTTCTAACATTAATTACTGAAAATATTTACATTTAAACTGGAATAATAAATCATAGTATATTAGCTGAATTCTTCCGATGGAGTTTATCATCCATAGACTCACGATTTGTATGACATGTATGAGTATGCGTACCCATTTTTTCTATTATACTTTTGAACATACTAATATTTTTAGAGACTAAATTTAGCCTACATTATATTTGATTTCCGCAGAGAAACACCCACAACATGACGCATATAATTAACTTGCAGAACACTGAATATTTTTTTATTGAGCGTAATAAAAAAAGACTAATTTTCAAAATGAATTAATAAATTTCAATCACATTCGCAACAAATCAGTGGCTCTGCGACAATGTTAAAAACAATAAACAATACTTTTATCATAATGAACTTCTTATTTGCCAACGTACGCACAGTTAATACAGCAGATCTGTAATGTACTTAAAATAATATATGTGGAGACATTTTATGTGTAAGAAACTCATTAATTTATTAATTATCATTAGTAAAAATTCCTATTGTATGTGAACTAAGAAAAATCATTCTGATTTAAAAAGTATTGGTATTATTTATCGCATACATAGATTTCTTCATGCCCATATTGTAAAAAATAATTAGATAGTCTAAATTCTGAATCGAATAATACTGTCAGTCTCAAAGTGAAAAAGCTCAAGTACCTTAAAAAGAAAATTTTGTAATTCAAAATTCTAGCCAAAAAGCGTAGAATTTTGAAAACTAATTTCAGATTGACAGCATTATACACACTGTTATTTTTGCCTAAATAGAAGAATACATGAACGGCATTACTTCTGACAGTGTAGACGACGGTGACGTCCTAACTGAGATACTTTTTAATTAGGTATCTTAGTTGGGAAATGAAAAAATATAACTAAAACTACGTTTCTCAACTGATATACATTCCATAAAGCATGAGTTTATAAATCCTGATATATTTCTCGATTGAGGCTGCTGAGTGATTTTAACATTTTGCAAAATAACAGAACATCCACAATTATTAACCATTATGATTTTGACGCGGACAACGATATAAATTTTCTTTATATAATATTATTGGTGCACCTCTTTGGGTTTTTTAACGAACAAAATCCATGAGAATATTAAAATTCCTATAACAAACTTCGATGCAATATTATTTATTTATAGTATGATGTACAAAACGATACTTTTCGAACTTATACGAACATGAGCATAATACCCTTACAGAAATTGTACCTTAACTGGAAAGATACGGTAGACAGCATGCCTTGTTTTCTAATGGCTAATGAAAATATCAAACATCTTTTATATAGTGTTTAGAAAGCACAAACAAATGGTGATTGGATCACAAATAAATATTATTTGAACTCTTGAAGTTCTTTTCAACATAATTGAGTATATATATATCCAGTCAAACGAAATACATGAATTCCTAATGGATATTAATTATTGAAAAGAAATGTTAACATGGTGAGTTTGAATTACTATTAAGCGTTTTTGATAACTGTCGATCTTTCTCAATACAATGATCTATGATATCCTGTACATATCGCTGATACTAACGAAGGAACATTCCCAGCTGTCCGACCCCGATAGCTTTCAAGCATACATCAATCGATAGCCTATATCGAGATAGTAAAAAGTCTAAAAGGATTTATCCCCGTGGCTCTTGAAGACCCGATTTTCAGAAAAACAGTTTTCTAGGAACTCTAAATAAATAACCAAAACGTTTCTTAATAAGCCATGATTGTAGTCCGGAAAGTTCTGATTAAAATGAGACGTCTCCCAGCTCTACACGACCTTTCTTTGCAAAGTTATAGACTTTACAAGAAAAGCCCTAAATGTTCATTGTCACCTCAGAGCTACAGAAAGAAAAATGAATTTAGGGCTTTTCTTGTAAACTCTATAACTTTGCAAAGAAAGGT